AGACCGCAGACTAACTCCACAAAGCTTCAGAACTACTCAAGACTTCTCTGAAACGTAAGTTATGTGTCCCCTGTTTCTGCCGTTCAACCGAGTCTTCACATGAGTAAAAGGTTCTGACACACTCTATCTCATTTTCCTATATTTGAATTGATCTTAGTTCTTCCAATCCATTTTCTCTCCTCTGCCGAAGGTTCTTTTGGCATTCATTTTCTCACAAAAGTATTTAATTTTCTTTGTAAAATAATCATCTGGGCTATTTCTTTCTTTTCCCTTGGCTATCTCTCTAACTTTTCCGACTTTTGTTTCGGCATGCTTAGGCAAAATTGCCGTTCTTTTGGTATCGTTGCTTGGAAATTTTTCTACTCCAATAAGTGAGGGTGTGAATGGGGTAAACCGACTAGCGACAAAGGGCGAAAAATACTACCGACTACCGACAAAGATCGAAAATTTTAACCGACTACCGACAAAGTGACTGAATTTTAACCGACAACCAACAAGTGGACTCCCCCCCCCCCATTCAGACCCTCTTGTGGGCGAATAAGAAGAAATGCTGTGTTACGTAAAGCACATTCAACTTTGTATTAAATCACTGCAGTTATTCATGGTTTGTTGCCAGTTAGGAGCAAATCCGTGCAAAAATCAAACATTGCATGGCAAAGTTAAAAAACTAAAATTCGCTGTTATTTTGCATACAAGTAGCCTTTAGAAAATATTCAATTGCTGTGTAGTTTTTTCCTTGAAAAAACTATTTGTTTCCGAAAAAACCAAAACGTTTCGTTTTCAGTCCCGGGATGGATTTGGCAACACCGAACAGGTTTAAAATAGGTCACGATTCATTCGACTCGCGTATCAAAACAACTGCGCTAGAAAAAGCTACCATAGTTCCAGGTTGTTGTAGAACTTTTCGTAGTCTAAACACCGTGATTTCATAAAGATTAGATTAATTCTGTCAAAAGCTTTTGGCTCTCCCGTACTGCGTGACACGGTAGGCGAAAAACAACGATAATTTTGAGCATGTGCCTCTGATCTTTCAAAATATGAAAAGTTTAGTTTTCGGAAATTAATTTGGGTATTTGAACAATTTTTGGAAATCGTGAAGAAGGACAAAATCACGCCATCCTGTTGTATACATGTGACCATCACTGAAGACATTGATATAATAAAAATGTACGCCACTGTGATGCATATAGCTGAGTAAATATAATAACCTTAACTCTAATATTATATCCTTAGCTGTTCGTAAGAGTCTAAAGTTTTTCTGTTTTGCCGTTTTCTCCATTCTTTGGTCTGCGTAAGTTTGTCGTGGCTCGATCAAAACGGCGGCTCCTGAAAGCGTCCTAACTTTGCAATTTGTGTTCCTTGTGCGCTTGATACAACTTGTTGGTGTTCTTTGTGACAAAATTCATTAAAACACTGATCGAGCCGACTATTTAAAGCCTATGTTCAGAGTTTTCTATCGTCGTGTTCATCATTTGTCCGTTCTTTGACAGTCGGTATGCAAATTTGGTAATATCAGCTAAGTTGAAATTGTAAATTGGCTACCGTAAAGAGTTAAGGTGGCTGGTACCAGTTTTCATCTTTTTAATGGTTTGTAACTTTGAAAGTATACAACAAAAAGACTGATCAAGACCAGTTGAAGACTTTTACAGGGTTGAATTATATAATCATTGGTTACCCAAAAATAGGTGTCATTTCGTCAATAGGAGTTGCCATGGCAACACTTTTAAAGGATTATCCATACGCATTTTTTAGGTTATAGCTCAAATAATTTGAAAACTAACCCGTGACTTTTCTTAGCAATTGCTTTCGGCACTTGAAAAGGAAGATGCACAAAGATTTTAAAAACATTCTACGGAGCGGAATTGCAGAAAATCTAAGAAAAGGCAATTTTCACGCATCGCAAGTGTCCTTCCGTAGAATTTTCTTTTTTTTTTTTTTTTCTGACGATTCCTTCCAACTTTATTATCATATTGGAACAACAAAAAGAAGGGGTCACCGGACTTGATTTCATGCTATAGTTTTCGTGAGTTTAGCAATTCCCACGCGCGTTCTCGCGCATTTAAAAATTTGTATTCTACAAGATCGACATTTGCTGATGATCTGTTTTAGCTACTACTGACTATCGCGTGTGTTCGCGCGAGCACCCACGATCTCATGTTCACAGACGTTTACTGCTTAGAAAATCATTCAATAGCCGTCAAAAACAGCCTCTCGGGTTCATCTTATATTAAAGGACCTACTCACAACTTCTGGCTATATTATTTTATCTTCCTTGAAGTTTCACAGTCTTCTTCTACTTCAGGCAGCTTATCCTTCGCTTGAGTTCTCCTTTTTTCGCCGTCGCAAGATTTGATATCGGTTGGATATTTCGTTTAGATGTGAAGCAACCTTTATGTCTCTGAGAATCGTCTTCTTTATCTTCTTTTCTGTCTCCTGCATACGCAGTGGCCGTTCAACACATCAAATACAGGCTGTTAGGTAAAATTCTTACAAAAGTAGAAAAAAAGCCTTGCGCCGCCATCTTTGTTTTGAATTTTCGTCTTTTAATCTCGCGCTGCTTTTGCACGTTTCTCTCTCGCGTGACGCAAGAGTGACCTGTTCCCCGCGCGAGAAAACTAGTGCTAGCCACCTTAAAAAGCTGACGTTTCGAGCATTAGCCCTTCGTCAGAGCGGAGGGCTCTAACGAAGGGCTAAAGCCTGAAACGTCAGCTTTTTAACTCTTTACGGTGGCCAATTTACAATTTCAACTTAGTTGATATTACCAAATTACCTTGTTACCCCCACCAAAGGGGGAAAAGGAAGTATGCTGTCTCTCTCGATAATTTGTTACTTTGATGTAGCAGATTTCTCTTTAGATCGCTAATAAACTATTTTACCAATAATTTATCTTTCTAATTACTTACTTTCGAAGAATTGAACACCTCAATTTTATGTAATAAAATTAACCTCATTAGTGCATTTTCATTTCTCACGTGAACTAAACAAAGATTCTAAACTTAAGAAGAAAGACAATACTTTGCGTGTTCCTACCCTTGGAGAAATGATGAAAGTTTTTTGCTCTTTCGGGAGTATATATAGTCGACAGTCCATATTCGCAAATTTATCATATTATACTGTCGCGCTACGCAAATTACGTAGGGTAGTTCTGTCAATTAAAACCATCGAGACATCTTTCCTGTTTTGAACTGATTTGATTGAAAACTTCGGAACAAGGATCGTCAAAAACAAGAAAAGAGACATATGGCAAAAAGACCCAATCTTGGCCACTGGGAAAGCTTATCCACCCTATCTGTACCAATTACTTTCACGAACGCTTGCTCTGCCAGATATACAAATTTTGTGTTGCTTTGCAAGCGAGACGTAATTTGTAGATAGTCTCAAAACAGTATGGGAACACATGCTTGAACTAGTTGACTTTATTGTCAACTCTTTTCCGGTTTTCTTCAGAATTTTCAAGTAAAATTGTTGCTGGCGAGCCCTACCGAGGCAGCAGCCTATTTTTTACAATAGCGAGAAAAAGCAAAAATTTGTCGGAGCGCCATTCCCTGCTGCAATCTACAAATAAGCCTCTACACAGCTCAGAAACAGGTTTACTTAAAGTAAAGAATGACATCCTGATGTCAATGAATCAGCAACATGTCACCCTGCTTGTTTTACTGGATTTAAGTACAGCTTTTGACACGATACACCATGATATGCTGATTCAGCGTCTCGAGTCTGATTGTGCGGAGTGACTGGCGATGTGTTTTGTTGGTTCAGGTCGTATTTATCAGACAGGTTCCAGCGAGTGTCTGTCAATGGTGGACTTTCCAAGAAGTTCCTCCTGTGTCAAGGCGTCCCTCAAAGATCTTGCTTGGGCGAGTATAAATAGTTTGTATATACGCACAAATAGTTTGTGCGTATATACACCATATATACGCACGAACTATTTGATATCGTGGAGCGTCACCTGCCTCAAGTCCACTGCTATGCTGATGATACGCAGCTGTACGTTTCCTTCAGCTCAAACGAATCTGCGGAAGCGGACGCTGCTATAAAGTCTATGACTGACTGCATCAGTGATGTCAGGAGCTGGATGATATCCGACAATCTAACCTTAAATGACAACAAAACAGAGTTTCTTATACTAGGCACAAAGCAACAACAAGCCAAAGTTAATATTGACAATATCAAGGTGGGCTCTGCTAATGTGAGTCCTGTTCCGGTAGTTAGGAACCTTGCATCGTGGTTCGATTCACAGCTCACTGTCTAGCCGTATCAGTAAGCTTTGTTCCGTTGCATTTTACCACCTGTATAATATTCGACGCATACGTAAGTATTTATCTCAAGAAGTTACGGAGACGTTAGTCCATGCTTTCATAACGTCCCGCATCGACTATTGCAATAGCCTATTGTATGGACTTCCAAACAGCCGTCTTGCGAAAATTCAGAGAGTACTCAATGCTTCTGCTAGGCTGGTAGGTAATGCGCCTAGGTTTTGTCACATTACACCAGTAATGCTCGATTTGCACTGGTTGCCTATCAGGGCACGCATCAACTTCGCGGTACTTCTCCTCACGTTTAATGCGTTACGTGGCTTTGCGCCTCAATATCTACGATCCTTAATTAGTATAAAGACATCTTGCTATAATCTCAGAGGTTCTAATACTCTACTCCTAGCAATGCCATCAGTGAAATGTAAAGCCACGCTAAGTGATAGGGCATTCGCCGTTGCAGCGCCGTCACTGTGGAACTCTCTGCCTAGTGAGCTTCGCTCAATCATATGTGTTACTAGTTTTAAAACTCATCTTAAGACATATCTTTTTAGTCTTGCAAATGGTTAATAGATATTTTTTTAGCATATTATTAGCATTTTCTCTTTTCATATAATATATACTTTTGTTTTGTTAAATTCTTTTATTATTTATTAGGAATGCGCATCTGATGATAGTCATGTAAAGATGCGCACTAGAAATGAATAAATTATTATTAATACGTAAGATCGGAGACATGCGCAGTCGATTGCTTTTTTTATATCCGGCTGCTGGTGATGACATCGCGCAAAATGCATGTGGAAATATCGATCGATTTCGAGCAAGAACTGTGTACAGCTGTCCCGCTCTGCTAAAAATCAAGGACACGATAAACGAGGTGAGTTTCTAATATAGATGTCTTTAATTGCTTGTGGAAGTATTCATCAAGGTCATGAAGGGTTTAGTGATGACTCTCGAGGAAGACAAGAGACATTTATGTGTTTGGCTGCTCTATTATGTGAGCAATTTTTGCCGATTCGCGAATGGAGGTGCCAAGATATTGATCGAGTCCTACCTCATGGAGATCATTTTTTTTTTAGTGTATTCAGCAGCGTCGGAGTAAGCTGCCGACTGCAGCTTGCTGGTCTCGGGAGAAAAGAGAGGAAGGTGTCAAGCCAACCTTGCTTTATGTCGAAAGCGACTTCGGCACCACAGGCAAATTATTCACAGCATTCCGTTTATTTCAAATCGTATCATGAATGTTTCCTTCAAGCTCTGACGCCATTACCCACTTTCACATTGAAACCTCTAGTATTCAGTACTGAACAGTATAAAAAGTACAAATGTGAAAAGTGTGCTAGGAAGAATTCGTCGAAAACTAAGCCGGTTTTGATCGTGGCTGCAGCGGCGGGCTTCTCTGTTCATGATAAACCTCTCGAATGATATTAAACAAATGATAAAACGAAGCAATTGTTACCAGGATTTCTAAAACAAAAACGATTTTTTTTTTGTTAATGGTTACGCATACACAACATGGCGTGATTTTATGTATTTCGTTGACGATTTTTAACAAATTCTTAAAATACAATGAATATATATGAAGTTCATATATTTTGAACTGCGGTATTAAATACGCATGATGCACGATCCTTCGCAGTAGATAGCGCTATTTATGTAATAGCGAAAATCAGACCTGAAAAAAAAAAATCAGGCCTCTACGAGATTCGAACCACTGGCCTCTGCGATACAAGTGCAGCGCTGTACCAATTGAGCTAACAAGCCAACTGGGAGCAGGCCGTTAAGTTGATTCGTAATAAACCCGTGATGATAAATCAGATACAATGAATATATATGAAGTTTATATATTTTGAACTGCGGTATTAAATACGTATGATGCATAAATATGCGAATGCATAAATGCATAAATTTATGCGATGCATAAATAGCGAAATTCTTTTAAATCTCACATGCATTTCCCCCAAGTAAACTTTACATATATTGAAAAATCATTAACTTGGGTATTTTCATTCTTAATCTTATGGAATTCTAAACAAAGGCACATGCTCAAATTATCGTTATTTTTCGCCTACCGTTTTAAAATTTTATAGTACACACAGTACACTGCAGTACAACACATTACTTACAATGCTGCTTACTTGCACTACTGACAATACACTATGGCTAATTACATACATTACTTACGATATTTACGATACTGGTTACTTACACCACTAGCAATTACAATACTTTTCTTACGTTATTCACATCTCTTTTTTTTTTTCCTTCATTGTTATTATTATTATTTTGCAATTACACATGTTATGAACAAAAAACAAAACAAAAGAACACACGAAGAGGTTTGTTAACAATATTTGTATTTAACTACCTTAGATTAAATTCTCAGTTTTCCATTGCATTTGTATCTTATTTATAAATTGTAACTTATTAAGATTTTTCTCATTCATTTTACAACTATGTATGTATCTTTTTGTTAATAGGATAAGCAACTCCAGTCGGCGTCGGAGGTTATCGCTAATAGCAAGAGGGGGTAATCCTGAAGTTAAATTTGGTCAACGGATAAACTTATGTGGGTGTTATTCAAAGTTTTGAACTACGATAGGATTTCTTGATAGAATTGAATACTTATAGGGCACTCCAAGAACCTCAAGGTGTGTTCTATTGAATCAGGATTTTTACATTGAAACGCCTACCGTTTTACGAAGCACGGTAGAGCCATGACTTCTTTACTTCTCTTGAATATAATTAATACTCAGATAAATCCACTGTTTATGAAATCAAGGGGTTTAGACCATGGCAAGTTATACAACAAATTAGAACTATGACAGCTTTTTCTAGCGCAGTAGTTTTGACAAGCGAGTCAAGTGAATCATGACTAATTTCAACCCTGTTTGTACGTGTTTGGGATCGCCAAATTGTACCTAAGTTAAAAAAGGCTTCCATCCTTTCAGGCTCAGGAATTAACAGATATTTCAAGGAAAAAACTGCGTGGCATTCATATGTTTCCTAAAGGCTATCTATACACAAAGACGAGTGAATTTGATTTTTTCAGCTTTACCGAATATTTTCGATATTTTGTTTGATTCTTGCACGAATCTGCTCTTAAGAGGTTAGGTTATGGTTTTCTTCAAATTGTTATTCAAAGAATGCCTTAATTAGTAAGGAAATGGATGGCAATGAATTGCTTTTGTTAACATCATCTTAGCGTTGTTACCTCAACTATTTTCCCTAAAAGCCTGTAAACAGAAAAACTTATATAACGGAAGATAAACGGCGGTTTGTAATACATAGATTCCCACGTTGTGCCTCGCTACTTTGGAAACAGATTTCTGCCACCCTATTGTTCAGGCGATTATTCCGAGTCAAACTTTCCTTAGGTTGTTCTTTCGTTCAAGCAGTTGCAGTTTATCACTCCAGCGAAATAAGAATTCAGGCTCATCCTCGGTGTAAAAACCTGTGAAGTTCACAAGTGACGTAAAACAAAGACAACAAAACGTTATAAACAATAGCGTACAGCAAAACAATACCTCATGGAACAAAGAAAACCTCGTCAGGGTTTTACACCGAGGATGACCCAGAATTCATCGTCACAGTCAAATCGTATTTATAGCCACATGCATTACAAAATGGCTACCATAAAAACCAGTACGACTTCCCAGCATCTCTCGTTCAAACTTACCCGTTGTGTTAGTTTTGACTACTACCAATTACAAGGCGCGAAAATCGATATCTATTATAACACAGATGTTAGTACTAGACACATCGCTTTTAAGTTTATAGCAATTATTACAAGCCTTTATCAAGCTGTGCATATGATGTTCTGCATATTTTGTTCCTCTATCAACAGAATGAATGAAGAGAAGTTGAAAGCAAGCCTAACTAAGTATTTTGGAGAAACGACAGGAAAAGTAACCCAAGGAACAACCGAAGATGAAATCAACCGTCTCTATGCTACAAGGTCAAGGACATATGACCAGGTGCTCTACGAATTTAAAATAGTAAAATAATAATGAAAAGGGTCTGGGGGATCGAAGTTGTTCATTGGTCGACCCAGCAGACTCCTGATTTATCATTCAGAGTTGCTTTTCTCGAATGTCCAGGTAATTCAAGAGACAATTTTTAAAAATCGAGTTTCCAGATGGGATTTGAACCCACGACCCTCCGTGATCTAGTCTGGAAACTCGATTTTTAAAAATTGTTTATTTCATCTTTACATGCTCAATTCAAGAGACTCCTGCAATATTCTTAGATCCTAATTTAGGGGATAATGGTGCATTCCTTTCTCAAATATATTTATTGTTTTAGTTCAAAATTTTGAAGGCAAATTCTCGATTTTTATTGAAAATAGATCAACTTTTCGGGTCAGTAAAAGTTACTTGAGCTCTCGAAGAAAGGGGCCCAAAGTGACATTTGACTTGCGTCGCATTTGTAAAACGTCTTACCCTAATAGCCCGCATGAACTTTCTCATCGTGCAGGAACATTCGGCGGCGCGCACTGCCTATTTCAAGCCACTAGCCGAATGTTTGCACAACGCCCTCAAAGATGTTTTCCAGGACAAACCAAATGATCAGATCAAAATCATTGACGCTGGAGCTGGCACAGGACTCATAGGAGTTGAGCTTAAGAAACTCGGTTACACCGACCTATGTGCTCTGGATATCTCAAATGAGATGTTAGACGAAGCCAAGAAGAAAGAGATCTATACTGAATTCATCTGCACGTCTTTGAACGGGCAGCCGGTACCTCAGATTAAATCAGAGCAATTCGATGGTTTGATTTGTGGTGGGGCGCTCATTACAGGACGTATCGAGTCATCTGCTTTCGTGGAGATGATTAGAATGGTTCGAACTGGTAGGTCTTTAGTAATAGTTTACCGAGGCACAGATATATTTGACTTGCGCATGTCCACGGGGAGTCTGTTCTGAGGCTTCTTATCCATTTTATAATTGCATACTTGGTTGCCAAGCCTTTGAACTGGAGAGAGGCTAAAAGTGACCTTGTTATTATACAGACATTGCTTCTTTTCAAATGTAAATTATTTTTATTTTTCAGCCTCAATCCAAATCAAAGGCTTGGCAACCAAACGCACAACTTTAAAATGGGACTTGAGGCGCTAAAGAATCATTTGGTCGCGGTTCTAAAACATCTGTGGTTGCAGAAATTTGTTCACAATGGTTTGATTCTTTTCTGCAATGTAAAAAAAAAAAACAAAAAGAAACGACAACAACAACAAAACGGGCACTACCCTTTAAATATCATACTTTTATAAACCTTTGAGCAAATAATATGTTTTAACAAAAATAGAGATAACGGAAATTTAGAAAAGGAAAAACGTGTAAAAATCCTCTCACAAGTTTTTTTTTTTTGGTTGTTTGTTTTGTTTTTTGAAAACTCAAACCATGAGATAGATCATGAAAGCTGCCCGTGTAGATTGGTAATGAAGACTCATGCAATCCCCTTTATGGTGAATTACTTTAACATCTAGCATCTAACCCGAAAATATTTTTCTGGGGCAAAATCTTCTCTTTGCTAATTCGCTTGATAAATTTCTTGTTACATCAAGTACACACCATCTTACTGCTCTCTTCAACTTCTTGTTGGATGATGTTATAGCTTAATCAACTCTGTGAGTTAATGATCTAATGAAAACATGGACAAATAAGAAAAATGGATGGAAATTTCCCATGATAAAACCTTACAAGATGACTACATTCTGATGTTAACTTTTTTGCAGATGGCGTCCTCTGTTTCAATATTATGAAAGAGGAATTAGTGGAACACTATCAAGACATGATGACGGAACTGGAGAAAGCTGGGAAATGGATATGCTTGTCCAAAGAGACTTTACCTTTCTATGCCGCCGAGGACTTGCCCAACGAATGCTGGGGGTTCGTTTACAAAGTGTTGAAAAATTAACAAACATATACCAGGACAGTAAGTCCAGCTCATGCAGGATCATACTGGAAATTATATCTTCTAACTGACTTATATTAAAATATCAGTCTTAATTTCTTAATTTCTGTTAATCCAAAGCAAGTATTTAAAATAAATCAAACTGCCTGACTAATATTGTATTGATGTTGTAATTTACGTTTTTCGCACGTGCCAGTACAGGGCGAGCCCTTGGCCATTTGGAATTTTATTTTACGGAATAAAAGAATGGGTTTTAGCTTAAAAGCCAGTCTACTTGCGTTTCGTTTCCTGGTATCTTTAATTTTTTCAATTTAGAAACTACTGATTCCTTCTTCTTGAATGCAAACTCAGCAATCAATACAGCTTTTAGGGCGGAAAAAATGAGTAACGACACTCTCGAGAAACATGCTCCTTGAATTTAGGGTTAGGGGGAGAAGAACCTGCTTTTCCTCTGAACAGGGGTCATAGAATTGGCTGAAATATTCAGCAAAAACTCAAAACCGGTTTTCGGGGCACAAACCTGACACAATTCTTGGTTTTCACGTGATGTCTACCATAAGAATCCAAAATATTAAAGGTCATTACGGTTAACCTCCGAAAGACGAAAGATCTCCCAAATATGAACCTATTGGAAAGGTCTCAGCGTCGTGGGTTCTCCAGTTTGAGAATAGAGTCATTTCTAGCTTCGTTTTTTCGTCGCATAACATTGAAATAGGGGCCCGGAAAGCTGATACGTTTCCAAAATATGACTTTATCGTGTGCAAATTTCAATTGTTCCCTTAGCATTAGGAAGATTTGACACCGAGTGGGGTTGGTGTTGTAAAGAAAGAAAAATCTAATGGAAATCTGGAATAAATTGAAAAGAGCTCCCGTTCAAACTGCTGTAATTCTTGCATGGAAGACATGATTAAGGCACTTGTCAATGATAATACCATAACTTAACAACCTGTACATAAAGACTTGACGTTAAGAGACTTCGAATTCAGTAACAAAAAACAGCAGCGCAAAGAATCCCTCATTAAATAGCAATTCAACTGTGTGCGCGCGTTCAAGAAAATATCGTTGTTTGACGGCAAAGAAATGTACAAAGTTTTAAAAAGCACGTGCGGAGATATTGTTCAGCATATTACGTCTTTTGTTTTGCCGTCTCCTCGTTACCGTCGCCGTCATGGTTTGCTTAAGGTCCCCAATGATCGCCAGCTACCGCAATGTGATCACACTTCACAACTCGAAAGTTTTGCGGGCAAACACGCTCGCAACACAAACAACGTATCAGATCATCTCTTGGGGCTTTGCAAAACAACAACGTGACATCACCAAGAATTGTGTCTTTTGCGGACGGAAACGGCGCCGGCAAATCATTTAAATTTCCATTTGGAACTCAACTCTACTTATATACGTTATGCTAAAGTTGAGTTGTGGCGCTGAAAGAGACGGTTAACGCATGCAGCCATTTTTTCGAAATTCTAATTAGAAGTAGAAATTCATTTTTTAATCGACGTCTTCCTTGGTGTTGCCGTCCTGACTGCTTAGATTGCTATTAGAGACTTTAAGCAGTCAGGACTGCAACACCAAGGAAGACATCGATTAAAAAATGAGTTTCTACTTTTAGTTAGAATCATCGAAAATGGTTGCTTGTGTTTGCCGTCTCATAGGGCGGCAGACCTCAAACTCGACATAACACATAAAAGTAGCGTTGAGTTCCAAATGTAAATTAAAATAATTTGCCGCCGCGCTTTCGCTTCGCAGACGACGCAAATTTTGGGGATTTCACGTTGTTGTTTTGCAAAGGACGGCTAAGAAATGTACAAAGTTTTAAAACGCACGTACTGGGCTATTGTTTTGCCAATTAGGTCTATTGTTTTTCGACGTTCTCGTTGCCGTCGCCGTCGAGGTTTGCTAAATTCCCTAATTGTTTCAAGGCGGCAGGCAGCACCCTCGCGGCAATTCAGAGCCGGTCCATTCTTTTGTTATGCAAGTGACAGGGGAGAGAGAATCTTGCACCATAAGTAAGAAAGTCAAAAAGTTTAATTTTGCGATCACTTTGACCTTTCACTTTTCCTTGCAAATTGGTACAAGTCGTCTTCAAACAATAATGTGTCTTTTTGAAAAACAGGAAGAGCAATCAATGACGTTAGTGTGTTTTCGGTTCGATATTGTTGAGGAGTGCAAAAATAAAGGAGCGTTTTAAGATTTTACAGTGCGACGTGGACGAGATCATAGTCACCTTTGGCATAGATGCAGTCTCATATCGAAGCCGCAGAAAAGCAGGACTACCTCCTTACAATGCAAAACCACTCTTGTGTGACTTGTACACTTCCACACTTTATTGAAAGCAACAAACATCTCTCAGTGATACATGCTTCAGATTCTTGCGCACAAGAAGCCTTTGCTTTAAAGAAAACACTTTTACGATCTCCTGAAGCTATCAAATATTGACAATCGATGGAAGAAGTTTAAACTTCGTATTTATGCAGACTTGACCTTTAAAAGCCAAACATTCTACAGCAACGGTATCAATCTATGATGCTACAGGTATATCTTGTTTTGACGAGCACTTAGGGTGAGTCAAAATACAAACAACGAGTTATTTACCATTCAATTGCTTTATTTCATGAGTATTTCTTAAATCAGTAAAGGTTTCTTAAAACTTTTGACAATAAAAATCAACTGTAAAAACGACATTTCGACCACACTTCACGGTCATTTTCAAGTGAATGGCAAAACTGAAACAATGAATGCATAGATGCGTGTAAGAAGTATAAAAAATTAGGCACGTGTAAACGGACAATAAAAACTTACAAAGAGAATAAACGATTAAAAGCTAATTAAAAACCTTTGCACCCGTTGAGAGAAGGCTCAGTTCTTTACTAAAAAACATTTCGTAGACTAAACGGTCAAAATTGTTTGTGCACTTCTTTAACACGCTAAAACTATTGTAACATCTTTTTGAGCCAGAGAAACATGGTTCGTTATTAAAAGTTGTCACTCAAAATAGGAATGGGATGAACCGACAAACCAGAAAAGCACGGCAACAATATAACACTAGCTCCGCGCAATTTGGGAAACCGACCCGCGTAGAATACATGTCCGCGACTGAATATATGTTTGAAAGAGCAAAATTCAAGTCTTTCAGATTTTCATGTAAGTGGTCGTCAAGGATCGGCGCTTCATTGTTGTTTAAAGGGAAGTATTAATCGGTCCATCTGATTTTCTTATACCAAGGACTGGTTTGTGAAGTCTGACTGGAATAAGCTTCCTTTATCAAATTTCAGTATCATTTACAATCTTTGATCTCCTGTAATATATGAGCTCAGCAAATACTCACCTATTGCAACATTGATTTGATGCGTGATTGAGTCTCTATGCAAGCGATTTCAGCCAGTGAGTGTAATTTCACAGGTTCTGGTCATATGATGAATTCATGGCCGGTTGAAACGTGTGATCTTTAAAAAATATTAAACGTAGCAACGACGTCAGCGTTTTCGAAAAGCTGCTATTTTCGATTTGGAATGTTGTAGATGGGGACTTCCACGGTAGAAATTAAAAATGATAATAAAAGTAAAATAGAATGAAAAAAAAGGCAAATGATAACCACAAAGAATAAAGGCGGCTCACGTTCACCAAGCTCAGGCTCACGTCCATCAGGCTCGGGCTCGGGTCCATCAGGTTTGTCTGTCTTGTAAATGCTATAGGTAGCCTCACTGCATCCAACTCCTTTCCAAAGCCCTTCCACTGATCTGGTTGTACCTTGAAAGTCGAAGACCAGTTCATATGGCACTTCCATTTTAGCTTCCTCTACAGTCGCTCTGGCAACTTGTGTGCAATGTGCGGGAACAACCAGATCGAACTCGTACGATTTCGTAATGGTTTTGTTGATACACTCTTGAAAATATTGAATGTGCGAGAAGTCAAAAGAAAGTTGACAGCTAATTTCTCCAACGCCTGGAAAGCCAGCACTAAAATTCGATCCGATTTTGTAGTTGAAGTTGACAGTGTGATTAGTGGAAACTGTTTTCCCTTTAGTTGCCATGAAAGTGAACTTCATCGTTTGTGCTACATCACCCTTGTTTTCCATTTCCATCCTCGAGACCACTTGTGGCGTCTTTGATATTAATCTTGCCTTATCCTTGATAAACTTCATATCGATTATCGTGACATTACCGTGTATAAGTTCAAAGCAGTCGTCAAGTTCTCTCTCCGTCTGATTTCTCTCTTCACTTGAGCCAAAAGATGAGAGGAAAGCTAAAGAGGCGGCAGCTTTTCCAATTCTTTTTATGTTTTTGGCTAAATTTTCCGATATCTCTTGTTTTGCTCTTGAGATAAGACTTTTGTAGTGATGTTCCATGTTGCACTTTTGATAACCAGCAGGGCCAGCGTATTTTGCATTTTTCCAGAACTGTATTTTAATCCGTTTGCATTTTTCAAAGTTTACTCTATGTTTAACGGCACTTGTCAGCAACGACTTGATTTTTTCACAAGTCTTTTCCGATAAGAACCCCCTGCATATGTCTGTGAAGGAACTGAAGCGGTGTTCTGCGTCACTCACGGTATCTGTCTCCGACTCTTCTCGCTTGCGAAGTGCTTTAACACAACATTCTCCTTCATTTTTAGCGTACTCTTTCAATTTCTCCGCAGCGTCTATTGGAAGTATATTCAAGGGTCCATCAGAGCTTGGTGTTGGCATTGCTGTTATTGGGAAGCAATCAGCTAGTGATACATCAGCAACAAGGTTGAAGCCTTTTCTTATGATAGCAAATGAGAGTAGAACCTCATTGGTCGTTAGGTGCAGATGAAATGAATATCAGTGAAACTTCAGCTGGCCTATATTATGATGAACTTTCTGTTACGGGTCACCAGGTATACAAGCCCGGACAGGTTTAAAAGCTCTTGGACGTGAGTTCTCAACATACATGCCTTAGGCTAAATCACTTGCAATGCAAGACCACCTTTAGAAAGTTTAGATTTCGCCTTTAAACAATCTATTAAGCAGTTTAGGCTTTGCAAGACAGAGCATGTTGAATTTTTAAGCGGAAGAAATATTTCTAGGAACACCAGGACGTCCTCGAAGAAAGTTTGGGCCATAAATCCGGACAGAAAATAAGAGGTTTCCATAAATTACAGTTAAGCAAGAGGCTGGCAGTTATTGAGTTCAGGCATGTGAACAACAAGGATTAATGTATCTCGGTGAAAAACAGAAAGACCAATGACGTCAGTGCGTTTTCGGTCCGACATTGTTGAGGACGGGAAGCTAAAAC